CTAGTCACGCCTCGAAGCAGCCGAAATCTCTGCGTGAGTCACGAACATTTGAATCCTCGTTCTTTGACCCATAATACATCACCAAAGGTAATAATTATTCACCTCCCCTATTTCCTATTAATACTTTGCCTGGACAGAATAATCAAGGGCGCAAGGAGCACGTAGATGAAAAGTATTTTAGAAGTCAAGTTAGGCGAACGAATGTTTTCGTTTAATTCCTCATCAGGCGAATACAATAATATGAGGGAGGGTAAAGTTGACGGAAGTTTAAGCAACCAATCAGTAGTAATTAGGGGGAAGAGGGGGGAGGTGTTAAGGGATCAAGAGGGCCAGCTTCTAGTCATAATTGGGGACCAGCCTGGGGAATGGGGGGAGGAGGGGAAGGGGTCCGGCAATTAGTTCAGGTCGTCGCGTCGTCCTTGTGTCGCGTTTTTTGGGATGCGTGAGGACGCAAGGTGTCATCGTCTCGTGACGGCGTGGATAGCCTGGTGATGCTTGCTTGTATTCGCCTGATGATAAATTAATCGAAAACGTTCGTTCGCATAACTTGACTTCTTGAATGCTTACATGGGTGTCATCGCTGAACTGAAAAGTATTTATTGATAAAATAGTCGAGGTTTTATCACGCAGAGCGCCAACGCCGATGATGGAGTCGCATCCACTAACGATGTCCACTCGGGTGATCAAGTCTTGGTCGTGGCAAGTACGACCATCTGTGGTGGATTAGGAGCTAATAAGTTTGATGGATTAGTTGTAGCCTAGTAGCCGCACCATTTACTCACTGTGCCGGATACCTTAGGCTTAAAACGTCCTCGGATGCCTGTATAAGACTGGGACTGCTACCACAAATGTGGAGTCACTGAACAAAACTACGTGAGTAAATAAAAGAACATCTGCAATTTCGAACGAAACAGTCCGTTTTTCTATTTTATTTGGCATCTTCCAAGAAAATGCGACGGTAATCTTTGGGCTGAGGCCAATTTGTCCTCTGCAAACGATATTAGCGTTCGTTGATTAATGCTCACTGAACTCTAACGGAACTCTTCTGTCCCGCTCTACTTGGGACCTCGTCAGAGGCCCTGACTGCCGTTCAGCTGGTAGTATAGGCAGATAGTATTTCCGGTTAACGTTAATCAACGAGTGTCAATATTCCCAGACCTTAGTAGGCGAGACAACGAGCTCGTGGCTCAATGGTTAGGGCGTTTGGCTCTGATCAAAAAGGTCGCGAGTTCGAGGCTCACGTTAGGCACCACTCGGGGCTGGGTACGACTGGCTGACGAAGGCTAGTAAGCCAGAAATTACCATTCCAGTCGCCCTTGTCTTTTCCGACAATACCATCTGCCTATACTATTAGCGGTGACATGCCAGTCCACGGATCGGTGTCCATTTTGATCGTCGTCAGGTGGACCTTTGATACTCCTATCCTTGGTGCTCGGTGTTGAAGACACCAAATACGAGTTCCGCACTAACGGCTTTGAGAAGCTCTCGTATCGCTTGGTTGATATTTCACAAGTGTGAATTATCTTGTCGGCATAGCTGTTATCGGTCAATTTCCTCCGGAAAAATTGTTGATCCTCATTCAAATCCTTGAAAATAGTGCGTAATCCTGTAAAGAGGTACGTGACAATTACGCGTTTATTTCGAAGGAGAAGTCGTGGTAAGCGGCATCACACAAGACTAGGAACCCCCCTCCCCACAAACCTTTTCGGGGCCTTGCGCTGATCTCTAGGACACCTAGAGTCGCATTTAGGATTCGCGGTATGGTTAGGGGTTAGGTTAGTATTTTTGTTGGGATTTCGACACGGAAATACTGGCGTTTCTTGAAATATTTTGCAAAGCCAGTTGTATCACCTAGGAGGGGTGCTCTTCCCGTATCTTATCCAATACACTGTTAGTTCGTATTTAGTGCACAGTCGTTCCCAGTAAGCCATTAAAGGTTTACCGTACCAGACAGTCAAAAAATAAAACTCTTCCTACAGTTGCCTCGTAGTTAGTAGTGACTGGATTGTTTGAGTTCAGCGGAATTGGGAAGCAGTCGGTCAGTCTAGTCTTCAGTAAAACCGCAGTGTGACACCACCTTACTGAGGATGGTTGTGGAATATTAAAATTCCGCCATGAAAGACGAGAGAGCAGAGCCCATTGGTATTGTGCATGTGTTGGGAATTCGGCGATTCCTACGATAAGTCAACGCACTCAACGGCGTCGCGAGAGCCGCTTACCGTGAGCCAGTCTTGCCTGCTCAATCCTGATTCTCTATTGTCGGACGATGTCTCTCGCGTTCCCTTTAAATTACATGCACTCTGTGTCTGATTTGACTTGCGCCGACTTGCACTCACGTGTTCTGTCTGAATACACGTTCTCCCTGTGGCCGACTGGTCTTCTCTCTGTCTCTCTCTCTTACGGGTTCTGGCGAACCGGCTCATGCTGATTAAAAGTACCAGGCGCGGGTCGTAACGGTATGCCTGCTGGCAGACTTGAATTTCACAGGCAAGGCAAAGCTATAGGCTCGAATAAGGCGTGGCAGCTGCATCCTATAACCACTGCACTAGGATACTATTGAAGATTACCTTGGTACCTTGCTGGTTTGTGATTGGAAGAAATAGTTGCGTCAGTAGAGGAAGCGAAACTCTCTTGTCGCCAATTAGGTTAAGCGATTAAAGCCGCGGCAGCATCCGCTCGAACTAAGTCTACTACACTTTATGATGCGATTGTCCTTCATACGGATTATGGTCATCCGCCTTCGTCAGACGTCAGTCGCCGCACAGTCCGCTCTGTATTATCGGTTTCGGCATTTGCACGTAAACACGGCATGCCCTATGCCAGTGAGTTTTTATGGCTGGACAAGTAGTATAACCCCAGGGTACGCGAGCCTGGACGCTCGACATTGTGATACAGGTCGACCCAACATTACACAACGGAGAAGTGTGTTGTCGAGGCACTGAAATCAAGGTTCAACAAACCTTTCAACAAGTGAGTTTTTAAAACGCCGTAACCCAAACCACTAATGTTTATTGATAGGGCTAATTCTAAAGTGCGTGTTTTTTATTGTTTGTTTCGTAAATCGCATGTCTCTTATAATTAAGGACTTCGAATTCAAATCTTATGATATTTTTGCATTCAAATGTCGCGACCAAAAGTTTTCCACAGAAATGTACACTTTCATTAAGCCCCGTTTTCCTTTTATCTCCCTTTCAGCAATGCAAGGACCTGAAAATCGGCTTCACCGTACTGCCTGTAATGGACGAGTCCTCCAGAGGCACTAAGCGCACGGCTGAGGGTAAATCTGTCAGAACGAAGACAGAATCCACGTTTCGTGGTCTCCTTGACCTTATCAGAAGCCTGCGAGTGGCGGCTCTCATAACTGATTTCTCACCCCTGCGTGAGGACGCTGCGGCCGTACAGACGGTGTCACAGATGTTGCCCTCCAGCACGTCCTTTTTCCAGGTTTGTTTTGATCCCTGCACCGAGTGCAGTCGCATCACCCTCCATAACGTTTGGATACACCTATTCAGTTAGAATGAGCAGAAAAAGTAGTAGCATTCCTGTAGCTCACGCATCAGAAGCTCTAAAAGTGAGCGCGCGCGCTACCAACGGTAAGAATAAAGGATGGCGACCCACTTCTCGGTGTGCTGGCGGCCATCTCGCTCGCTCCGATTTAGAGACTTCTGCTACTACCAATAACCACACGCCGATTGGCTATGCGTTAGCCAATCGTATTTGTCGTCTCGCTTCCCATCGTGTGTGTTCGTGTCGCTGCCGCGGTAAAACCCATCTCTGCTAGTCTAACAACAGAGACCCAACGCATTACCTATTGTCAGACGAAGAACTCTATACTCCTTAGGGATACCTTACCTAAACCTAACCTCAGTATGAGGGAAGCGAGGGCCGCAGTAGGCGGTTTTGATTGGTATTAGCATGTTAGTTAGAATTGCCTACCTCGCATGCTATCCGAGGAAGGCATTGACTTTCAGGGATTCCGTAGTCATTCACGGTCGCCTAGTTTCATCTTTCCATCCTACACGAATTAATACTGATCCATGTCTGAGCCTATACTTTTCCATGAGACCAAGGTCTCTTTTTTATTCCGCCCTAGACACGGCTATTTGCCTATCAAAGTTATAATTTCACTAGAAATTCCCATGCGAACTTAGAGTAAAGTCAGCATGGCACGAATTTTCAGTTTTGGCTTCGAAATTCGTGTAATCGTTTCGCGCAGCTGTTATCGATTTCGGGGAGGCTGTCGCTTTATTAGCAAACCTGTAAAAAAATCAGTAGTTTAACCCTACTGCTCTGCTGAGAATATGATTAGACTATTTTTCTTCATCTCTACATTTTGATTGAGTATGTAACTACACTTGCAGAAGTCTTAATTAGCAAAAAACTTGGTTCGTTTCCTTACTTAATTTAAAATGACGTCAGTATTGTATTTTTGACCTTTTCGTGTACAGTAATGGACAGGACCAGACAGTGTTGTATGAGCAACCTAGATTTGTGAGGGTCATATGATAGTTTGACCGTCGCAAGTGATGACAGCCACCGCGTGCCTCACAGAGCAGCCGCAGTACCGGTGACTAAGTCGTGAATTAGTTTATTGCGCGGCACTTCTATCACCCGCTTCGCTTCAGGGATAAGGTCATGTCAGGCCAACCTAAGGTGCATGCGTGCGCCACACTCGCTGACAGAGCTAAACAACCCCTCTGTATTGCGAGAGAGAGATACGCTTTATTTTAAAAATATCGTTCCAAAGTTTTCAGCAATAACTTCCTCCATTTACTATAAATAAAACAATGTACAGGAGGCAGACAACACCGGAGAATTACAAACAATTGGAACTGGCCAAATACTGCAATTGACGACATCGTGCCCTTGAATATGTCGCAAAATGGGGACCAACTTGGACTTCTTCAAATCGCCGCTAGCGTCGTGTGCTGATGACCTCATTGTTGTAGTTCAAATAAACAATAGGGGGTAAAAATCAGTTTCTAATGGGCGCCCTGGGCCAACCGATGCATATATCAGAAGGTTTAGATGCACGTATTAGTGTACATTAAACGCGGCTCGGATATTGCATGGGTGAGAATGCAATAAAGATCTCATTAAGGAACCATTACAGTCTCTTCCTCGGTTCTGAGAAAGGCCGATCTATTCCGTCATCTCTCCCTCAGCCATGAATCTGCAGGCGGTAGTACGACCCAATGAATACTCATCTGACCATGAATCTCTACGGGAATTTTTTAGTACGAGGAAAGGCAGTGAGCTTATCGGTCGCATCACCTGTCAGTGGCGAAGGTCCACCGACGAGATGTCTAATGTGCATAAATAACTTTTAAAAAAAACTCATTTTCGGCACAAACTGCTCCAATATACAGAGTAATATGGCTGAAATTATCGATGGCTTTTGTGGTAACGTTCACACACGAATGGCCAGCTACTTTGGTATGTTCAGCGTCGAGGACACACCCAGAGAATCCGCTGGTATTTGTGGGGACCGATTATTATGATCCATCCGAGCACTCAAAAGCATGCTACCGTCCTCAGCAGAAGTCCTCAACGATTAGCAGGCGTAACTAAAAGAAGAGCCCTTGGTAAAACTCGTAGAAACAGGCCATCCAAGGGGTAACAGAGTTAAAATGTCGAATTATCTTCAGAAGGAGCATCTACTCGTTCACCAGCATATAAGTACTGGTGGGCTGAAAATCCATGACTGTAAATCCAGTATAACTGTTGGTCAAAAGCTTGTAGCGCCTGAGGGTATATTTGTCGTGCCAAAATTACCGAACCCAGGCTCAATCTCTGGCGGAGAGACTATAGCGTTTTCAGGAGGTGGTAAGACGCGCACTTAAGCGAGACAGAGAGAGGAGGGGCGAGGAAGAGTAAAAGAAAGACCTGGTGTCAGCTGCTTTTAGAGGCCTGTGAGGACAAATTCACGTTTCCCCTGTGTCTCGTTAACGCCTGGGGTGTTTTGGTCTGTGTTGCACTGACAGAAGAATGGCCTGTTCAGGCGAGTGGCTAGAGGTTTGTAATGTTCTCCGATATTTATCGCCAGCTGGGAGTAAATCCGTCGGAATAAAGCGTTGCGAGCGCTGACCAGAAGTTTATATAAATATCTGAGCCGATTTTTATAATCAACAGCGGGATAACTACGTGCTATTCAGTAAACTGTCAGTAGGCAGTCAGTATCATATCTGAAGATTGCGTAATACACCATATTTAGCTACTACCCAATATGGTGTGTCATGTAACCTCTGTGGCTGTGACTGTTTGAACGCGTGTTCCTCCTCGATAAAGTACCTGCTTTCAACCATTTAAGAACCAGGGTATGGCCAGAATTCCGGTTGCCTGACTGACTCAGCTATCATGATTTTAACTTCCCTACTATCTAACCTCACTGTGGTTTTCCTCGCATGCCGCGTAAAGAACCTTCCAACTCTATCTTCTCTCCTCGGTTAATTTCGCGGCTTTTTGTTTTTCTAGTGGTATATTGCCTGTTTTAACTTCGGCAGGCAAATCGACTGCTGCTGCCACGCGCGAACCTAACAGCTGACTGCATGCATACACTTAACAATATAGGCTATCTACCCCTTAACGACGAGGTTGCGCATAAGGTAACAGTCTAGGTAGTAGTATAGCGCACACGCGAGCGCTTGGTGCACGTACTACAGTCATGAGGTCAATCACTGGTTTATGGGTCGATCCGGACGAACAACTCTCTAGCTATTGCTCCGTTTACTGATTGACGGCGCGTCCATTTTTAGTCAACCCTGTGTTTTTATGTGTTTTAGGTGGATGCACACAACATTGTGCCCGCCTGGCATGCCTCGGACAAATTGGAGTACGCGGCCAGGACAATCCGACGAAAACTACACGAGAAATCGCAAACTCTACTGACCGAATTTCCGCCCGTCCGAGCTCATCCCTTTCCGGCTGACGCAAAGGTACTAAAACTTCATGCACCGTTTTTTTCCCCAAACCATTCCAAGCAGTTGCCACTTGCCTTGCGCACTGTTGACTGCGTGTGCGCCTGCGAGGCATAAATCAAATTTCTCAGCTGTCAGGCCTCGTGTACGATGCATGGGTATTTGCAGTTGGTAATCGCTGCGTCAGCCGCTACCGCCTGTGCTGATCGCGTGTCAGCGATTGCGCATGTGCGGGCGTGCGCGCGTGTGTGTGTGTTTATGTGAATAAAGCAATGCTGAATCAACCTAGAGATAGAAGCCCACATAGGTTTACACAGTCGGTTCTGTGACCGAACACCAAATATATGCGATTTTTAATAGTATTCAGAATTAAACAGTCATTTTCTGTGTCATGTTTAAGTTGACTCTTTGTGGATAGGGTTCTAGTATGACGATGTGGTCTCCTTGTGTTGGTCGATTTATGCAAGTCTGGAACTTGATATGCCTGGCTGACGACAGCGACGACCAATAAGCCTGAAACGGTCATCCCTGTCTCGCCCTTTGTAGATATTCTTTCCTGTATGTATTACTGGTCGCCAGGCGGCTGCCTGCGAGGTCTCTCGATTGAGCTTTAAGGCGCAACAGGGTGGGCACGTTAAGTATAGATTACGTTCGATCATCTCTAATTCAGAATTCATCTCCTCAGTGTTCGGTAAATCCGACTCGCCTTTCGAAAACCGTTTATATTCGGTCGGACAACTGGATGGTTAACCCACAGAGTCCTCCTTTGACTAAGCAGCGTTCTGTGCGGGTTTGACGACCCTTTTCTTGGCGAAACAAGACCCATCTATATGAGGAAACTGGACAGCCATATGATCGCGTAGATTTCTGAAAGGGAGCATTTCACTTTTTGACTGTTTTGTCTGCCTGACTTAGAGGGTAGGTAGTTAAGGACTTCCTCTTACTCTCATTTGGAAGGCTGGCAGCCATAGCTGCTTTCGCTACTGCATCATCTGCCATCCCCATTTTCTCCACTCTTTTGTTCTTATTATCACCCCTGTCATCTTTGCGTCATTGTTTGAGTGCCAGTTCGGACCAAGACAGTTCAGAACCTGAGTAACGGTTGATGTACGATAGTTCTTATATTGTTTGTCGTTGCAAATACTCCGTAATTGGGTTGGACTGTGGTGGGGAAGAGCCTTGCTCCGTGGCCTCTTTCTGTTCTAGGAGTCCCCGTCGGTTTCGGCGATCAAACTGAGCTGGAATTGGGTACACTGGTTGATCGGGGCTCGTTGCCCTTTTGTACCGACTTCCTCTACGTTGTCGGTAATTAATCCTGTCTACTAGAACACACGGGGTACCTAGTAGCGTAACTACTGGCTGCCCGGCCCCCTCACAAGTGGTAGATAATGTAACGACCGTTTGAAAACGTCGATACCAGATAACCTGGAACTCTGGTTTTACAAATAAACAGTCACGGACCAGCGGCGACAATGTTACCAGGGTGCGGAGAGCTGAGACCGGGCCCGCTGAATGCCTTATAAAATGTTATCGTAAGACACGGAATTAGGAAACGCCCTTCCCCTCAGGGAGGGTAAATACTAGATCCTGGTAGTTAACTCTCACTTCACCCTGTATCGCATCGGGCCATGTAAGTCTCTTGGTAGACGCGCTGTGACGATCGCTCTCTCACAGCAAGCGGTCCGTGCGCTACTTTGATGCGAACGAATTAGCGGCTGACTTACCTGCGACTGAAGATTACCGTGTACGCATCGACATCAGCTGCCGACCAGCACAATATGGATATCTCATCCTGGCAACTGCAAGATTTCGTTGAAAAATTCCTTCGCTCTTATCTGTTGAGTGCTGTCGGGGGCTGGAATGGTTGGACTCGACCCAATGACTCTTCAAGCAGTTGTGGTGGTCAAGGATAGGCGATCTGCAATAGCCACAACACTAATCAGTCTGATGGAAGAAGGCAGTCAGATATTAGGTGCGAATTATTGGGTACACAAGGCAATTTGCCGGGGGTTGACTGTTTGTTGGCGTGTGGGCAGCAGAGTGTTGTGTACGGGTTTTTCTTTGTTAGGCTGGGTTTATGATTGGTCAGGTCAAAAGGACATAAACACAAGAGGCCATGGATGACAAGGCAGGCTTGCCGATACACGTAAGATGCGCGTTGTCTGCACAAGTGACTGAGTAAGCTGAGGTCAAGTCTGGGGGCTGCCAGTCAGCGGGATTTTCGCAGCAGTCAGAATGCAGGAGAAGGGG